CACCAGAGCTGCTGGCCCCTGTGCTGTGAGAGGCCGTTTGCTCCAACTCCTCCATGCAGGTGCACAGACACTGCACATGTGCCGGTCGAGGCTGTCCCCTCTTCCTCGCCTGCGTGCTCATCTGAAATCAAGGCCATCTGTGGTAACCCTGTGTGTGCAGGTGTCTCTGTCCTTTCTCCATAGCTGCGCCATGTCTGTTTGGCAGTATATATTAGCAAACAGGTGCGTGTGTGCAAGGAGACTATTTCTCTTTGTACTACAATACCAGACTGACTCTACGTGCCTTTGAATTAGTATGCACATGTGTGTCAGAGGTGGAGGGCCAAGGACATATTCAAAGGTAGTGGGCTCCAAGCCCCTTACCCTAACCATTGTGTAAGTCTGAAACAACAGATGAGAAAGAAGACACACAAGAGGAGTTCTTCAAGGAGAAGAATTGCTGGCAGTGTTGATGTTTAGTAGAAAGACAACTACTGCTAACTGAAAGGGATGTGAGGGAAGAAAGGTGGGCAGGGGTAAGTGGGAAGAGGCCTAGGCACAGAGAGAGAAGAGCCCAAAGGAAGCACTCAGATGTCCATACAATACCGCCAAATTGGCCCCAAATGTGGTCAGGGAGCAGGAAGATGTGCAGAGGTAAAGAAGAGATTTGAGAAGGAAAGCAGAAAGGACTGGGAAGGGAGGAAGGTGACCTGAGAGGGGAGAAGTAGGGTGAGGCAGCCAGTGGAGAGCACCATCTGTTCAGAGGGCACCAGGCCCAGGCTTGGAAGCTGTTCCACTGCAGCCACCTCCACAAGTGACAGCTGGCGCAGCAGCAAGACCCAGAGCAGCCTGCCCTCTGGCCACTCCCTTGCCATAGGCTGGCAGCCACCCAATTCCAACACAGAGCACAGAAAGAGTAAGTTAGCCTGGGGCAGGTGTCAGAAAGGCAAACTTGCCACATGAACAGGCTCTGATGTGCCCATGTAGGCACCTGGCAAAACCCAACATGTGTGCATACATGTGGCATCTCCAGTGTTTTAAGAATGCATACACTGCTGTCCTGCCCCCAGCATGCATCATGTGAAGAGAGAAAAGGTGGTCTGGTTACCTCTTCCTGCCGCCCTAACATCTCCTAGGCTTCGCTCTGCAAAGTTGTCCCTTTCTGTCCTTGAATTTACAGGGTAGTGTCTTCTGGTCAGGCTGTGGACTGGGCTTGAGTCAGGTCAGCTCCAGCAACCTGAAGCCAAAAATTCAAGGTCTGACCCCTCTGATGCTGAAAGTGGCATAAAGCCTACATCACATTTCTGCAAATTGGGCTCTGCAACTGTAGACCCCATCCCATGGATCTGAGACATTGGGGGATGCATATGCTGTACCTATTTCCATCAGAAACAAGAGTCAGAGCTCTTTTGCTGGGGACACCCTCTGCAGGACCATTTCTCCACAATAAGTCCTATGCTGGTGTTTGAGCTGTCTCTCTGCCTATCCATTCTGCACCTCTTTCAGTCTAACAGATGGTGCTGAAACCTGGGATGGGAATATAGGTTTGGCTCTCAGCTCTCCACTCTGGTGACCTGGAAAGCAGTGAGCAGCAACAGCTCTTCCCAGGTTCATTCTAGGACCCTGAGTGGAGGCTGGAGTTGTCTCTTGCTGTCTCTCCCTCTCTTTTAATTGCTCCATCTCTCCCACCCTTTCCTTTCTTTCCTTTCTCTGATGACCACATCAGGGGCCATCTCCCCATTGCTGGACTTCCACTCAACACTGGCCTTCAAATTTTGCCTACATTGCTTTACACAGGTTGCCACTCAAAACCTTGTGGAAAGAGTGCTGTTTTTATGTCAACCAGTCCAGGATCATTGAGAGACTTTTAAAAGTACAGCCAAATCTCTGACAATAAACAGTGGACAGCTGGGAATGGTGGTCTTCCTGGGAGGCTCCAGGCATTCCTCCAGGACACTACCCATAAGCAAATCAACTCAGTTCCGTTCCTCTAAGAGGTGCAGAATGGATAGGCAGGAAGACAGCTCCAATGCCAGCACCAGGGCTTTTGTGGAGAAGTCATCCTGTGGAAGGTGTCCTCAGCTGCTTACAAAGTGGGGGTAGATAGGGGAGGTGACTGGAGAAGTCTCAGACAATTCTTCAACCATCAAATTAAAGAAAACATTAAAGCATTCTTGCAAATGTTTTAAGAAGCCTTTGAATTATTGTTCCCTCAACCTCCATGATTTAAAATAATCAGCCATTCCTAAGCCTAAAAGTGTACATCTTGTATCTACCCTCAATAAGTAAACTTTTCAAAACTGAAAAGAAAAAAAAAAAAAAAAGAAAGAAAGAAACAGGGGCCAAAAGGCTGAAGGTGTTGGCTTACAGGTAATGTGGGAGGGAGCTAGGATGAGGGATTCAATTTCTTTATAGATGGGAACACAAAGCTGGCTGTCCTGACATGCTTCCTACTTGGGCAGAGTAGGGACCTACAAGGACAAGTGTGTCCTTTCATGGTAGGGGAGAAGTGTTGTAAGAGCTGCAATTTAGAAAGAATATCATTCTCCACTTCAGTTGTCCCTCAAGTGGTGAAGCAGAGAAGGGAACAGAAAGCCTTCAGTTGGGTTGCTGGCACAGGTTCAAGTTTGAAATAAGCTAAAACTGGGCACAGTGGAGGGTCCTCATGGCAGGTGGCCCAAGAGATAGGATTCTCCATACTAAACAGGATTTTAACCCATCACTGGAATTTTGGGGGCTGCTCCTACACCCAACCTCTCAATATACTCTTACCAGTTTTCCCTAATAACTATGAATTTATCCATTGAGGGCAAGGACAAGCTTATCGCCCCTCAATAAGAAGTGCTGCACTTGCACTGAGTGAAACTATACCAATTCTACTTTGCACTAAGGTCCACATGTTAGGTGCTCAGCTTTTGAAGGGAAGTACATAGCAGGAGGGTCCTCAGGGAGGGAGAGTCAGTGGGAGGCAGTATGGAAGGATAGCCAACTTTCCTTCTTCCCAGCTGGGAACTGAAAACATATCCCTGCCCTGCTGGGCACAGAAACATCAGGGTGGCTGTCTGCTGTGGCCTGCTGTCCACCAACCCTGACACTGCCCCTACATTTGTCAAAACAAAGACTTCCTCCATCCTTCGTGCCAGCTTCTCTCAGCAAAAGAAATAAAATGGCCCACTTATTTTTATCGCTCACAGATTTCCTGGGAAATGGGCTATTAGTTCCCCTAATGTAAAGATAATAGGCTTATCCCCCTTGGCAAATGGCACAGCCCCAGCACAAACATGCTTACAGAACAGTCAAGAGGCCTCCCCGGTTGATGGTGAAGGGCCTAGAAGCAGGAGCGGGCCTAGAAGCAGGACCCCGACCTGGACAGGAATCCTGGAACAAACTGGGCTCCCCCATCCCCACGTATGGGTACTGAGTCCTTGACGGCCAGAGAAAGGCTTTTCAGACCTTCAGAGCCCCACTTTCCTCTCCTTTTGACTGGTGGGGCAGGGCTGGGTAGTGGTAAAGGAAATGGCCATAAGTGGAGTGAGGGTGTCTCTTGCTATAGCAGAGGTGTGGGAACAACTGTTACCAAGCCGGCTCTCACAGGCAGAGGGTTTCCAGGCCTACCTGTGCCACTGTCCCTGAGCACCCCCCAAGAGACACCACTTCCAGCTGAACAGTCTTCACATCTAACCCCCACAGACACCTGTGAGGTAAGTGGATACAAGGATAACAATTCCATGAACAGGTGAAAAAAAAACCTGAGTGAGCATCTGACAGGTGAAGTTAACCATGGTCAGGTGACAAGACAATGGCTGAGCTGGAAAGCTGGAATGGAGGCAATGGCCCCATGGGCTAAGGACCGATGCTCCCCAGGGAGCAGCCCCTGCTTGTTCCTTTCCAGGAATTCTTCATCCCCTGCCATCCATATCCAGCCTTCAGGACCAAAATTTTTAAGTCACAGCACTTTGGGGACTTCAGCAGTGAAGGGGGGACCATGGCTGTCAGCAAGCTCTTCTGCCCTCTTCCCACCCATACACACAGAGCATGGGGGCTCCTCAGCTCTGGACAAGGGCCACCCTGTCACACCTGGAAAAGGCAAATGGCTTGCTCTGCTGTGTTCTTCAGGGGATGTCCCCTATGCTGAGCCACAGGTGTATCCTAGTGTCCTACCGCTGCCCTATTTTTCACCTGCACTCTTGTCTCTGGCTTAGGTGAAATGCTCTTGGGCAAGGGGCCTGGGTGATACCATTTTTTCTTTCTCCCAGGAAGCTTTGGGCAGTGCCAGGCAGATAACAGGAGCTCAGTGCTACCTGCTGATTGACCAGATTGGGGCAATGGGGTATAGCTCTGTTCACACTGGCTACTTGAGGGTGTGATTTGCAGACCTCTTTTTCTGCCTAAGGCTCCATTTTCTGCCATTCTGGGGCTATGTCTGTGTCCCTGCAAGCCCCAGGCATGGGCCATTGCAGGAGCCCTCCTTCATTCCCTCCTCTGCTGCTCCTATCCCTGAAGCTGTGGAATCTCAAGCCAGACAGCAGGAACAGCCTCACCTCAGCAGGTCAGGCAAAGGCAGATGCCTGACCATCCTCTTCTCTTGGCTGCTGGGAGCTGGGGGTAGGCACCATGGTCTGAGAATGAGGGAAAATGGACTCACACTGTCTTTCTGTTCTGGAGGAAAAAGAGGCTCTGTCTAGAGCTGTGGGGACTCTAGGGACACATCTGGGCAAAGCTGCTCTGCCCAGGAAGTGGATACAGTCTCTGAGGGCCCCTTTTGGGCTGCTTTGGGTCATCAGGACCCTTCTAGAGGATAGTGATGGAGATGAGGGTCATTCTGCATTTCAGAAGAGGGACCACAGGCTGAAGAGGGAATAAAGGGATCCAAAGTACCCAGAAACTTTGAAGGTTCAAAAAGAGAGGGAAGGTTGTATCTCCATCAGGAGAAAGCAGTGGAAAAAGTCACCAGGGAACACAGAAGGATGAGACCAGGGGAAGTTTAATGAGCAAAGGAGTAGGATGGGCCAGTTAACTGATCATTCTCCTCCTCCTTCTTGTTGCTGGAGCTCTGAGTCCGCAGCCTGGAACTCCTTCTCCCCTGCCTGCCCCACAGGCTGCTGCTCTGCCAGGAGGTAGCATGCCAACTGCTCCAGGGCCTCCAGGCTCACCCGCTGCACGCGCTCCTCATGCCTCTGCCTGAGCAGCTGCAGTACCACCTTGGCATCCTGGGGCCGGAAGTGCTTGGCTAGGATCCTGCCCAGCTGGCTCCACAGGGGCTGGGGCTGGTGGGCCTTGTCCTGTTCTGCCTTCTCCAGGGGCCACATGATGACATTGATGGAGGCATTGGGCCCGATGCAGTAGTCGGAGAGGCACTTGTCATCAGCCAGGAGCTGGCCACGGAAGAGCAGGTGCTGCTGCTCCTCCGGTACATGCAGCCGCTCAGATACCAGCTTCTTCAGCGTGGCCACGCTCTCTTTTCCTGTTACCTTCAGGCTGCATCTCCGGCCTAAGAGCAGCTTGACTGTGAGGAACATTGGGCTACAGAGGAATCAGGAGGGACCCATGCTCTGGAAGCCTCCCTGAAGGTTAAGGAGCCCTGTAAGAGAAGGTGGCCCTAGCACTGGCAGATCAGTGGTCCCAGGAGGCCAAGGGTCCAGCCCAAGTGGGCAGCCACTAGCTAAGGCACAGTGATGTCACAATCCTACAGGAGGACTCATTTCCAGAGAAGAGACAGCACAAAGACATTGTGGTCATAGAGCATCCTCCTTCATGAGGACAGTAAGGAGAAGTGAAGAGAAAAGGAAAAAAAGGGGGCAGGGAAGAATCTGTAGGTCTAGGAGAAAGAAGAGTAGGGTCTGTGAAAGAGGGCTGGAAAGGGCAAGGTGACAAAGAGAGCATGGCTGTCCACTCAACTAACAAATGGGTAGCTGGGTGCCTTTTCAGCACCAGGACTTGTACCCAAGGAGCTAACTGTATAAAAATAGATACCTCCTACCCTCATGAAGCTTTCAGGCCAGTGAGCAGCTAACCTTGAACTAGCACTTTTTAAGCTCTCTTCCATGGGGTTTCCTGCAAGTGAGCAGAGGAACAGGGATTTGGGTATCATGAGAAGGTCATCCCAGGAGGCACCTGTGGGGGAGTGAGGAAGGGAGACAAGAGAGAGAGAGAGAAGTAAGAGCAAGCTGCCCTGTAAGAACACCTAGCTGTGCCACTCAAGAAGCAGGAAGCTGACTCCTCCTTTGGTTTGCAGTCCCACCTCCTTAGCCCTCCGGTCCCCAGATGTGCAGAGAAAACCCTTGGGCAGAGACACGCAGGCTTCTGCAGTAGAGGCCTTTGCACCTTCAAGAATGTGAACACTCCGAATGCAGCAGGGCCACCACGAGTATCTGCTTCATATCCGTTACTTTATTTAATCTTCCCAACCTACAAGGCATGTACTGTCATGGCACCCACCATGACGTGTACCCACCAGAAGAGAAAGTGGAGGCTCTGCTTCATCCTACAACAAGCTGCGTCTCACAGAGGCCTGCCTTGCCTACTGAAACCCACATCCACTCAGTGTCTTCCGTGTGCCAGGCACTGAGCAGACTCCAGGGTTCAAAAGTGAATAAGGAATGGGACACTGACTGGGCCTTGTGGGTCAGAACTTCCATTGCACTTGGCAGTTTTCCATGCAACATGTCATTGATGGCCTCCAAGGCCTTCTACCTACTCCCTTGGTAGTGGAAAGGAGGATCTCAGTTTAGAAGTGAGCAAGCTTGGGTTGATGTCCCATAGTGGGTGGCCTGATTTTGTCAGGGACCCCCTGAGTCTTCCCAGCAATTTGTGCTCATCTGCTGTGCACATGAGCCCCTCATTCCCTTCCCAAGGCCACTCAAGCTTCACCATTGTTTCTGGCAACCAAGGGCAGCTAAAGAAAAACATGCAAGATGCCACAAGATGCCAAGATCCCACCCCCATGTTCTCAGTTTTGACAAGTGACCCAAATGCTAGTCCTAATGACACAGAGCTCACAAGTGAGGAATTCCTGGCCTCTGCCTCTCCCCACCTACCAGTGGGCTGCCCTTCCCACCTCCCTCTCCTCTCCTTTCCCAACCAAATGAGTCCTCTTGCTATTTCCTTTCTTCCTTGTGAATGGCTCTCAAGTCTACTCCTCCCACGCTTCGCCACTGCCCCACCTGACTCCGGCTCACCTCCCTCCAGCCCCTGGCTCTGAACTCATGGTTTACCTCTTCCATTCAGCCCATTGCCATGGGTCCATTCATGCCAGAGCCAAAATCAAGGGTGCATCACCTCTCTGAGAACTCTCTATTTCAACCCCTTTGCTTTTGGAATCAAAACCAGAGTCCTCAGCTTAGCACCTAAAATCATGGTAGCCTGGCTCTGTTTGCTGCCCCAGCCACGTGATCTCCCCAGCCTCATCACCTCCCCTCTTTGCATCTCCCATTCTAGACACACTGGCCTGCCATTACCCCTGCTTGCCTGCCCTGTTTGAAGTCTACCAACTCATCCTTCAAAATTCTGCTTTAATCCTAGCTATTTGGGAGGCTGAGATTGGGAGGATTGTGGTTCAAGGCCAGCCACACAAATAGGTCATGAGACCTCCATTTCCAAAATAAGCAGAACAAAATGGACTGGCTCAAGCAGTACAGTACCTGCTTTGGAAGCACAAAGTCCTGAGTTCAAACCCTAGTCCCACCAAAAAAAAAAGAAAGAAAAAAAATCTGCTTTAACATCACCTCCTCCATAAAGCCTTACCTGTTTTCCTCAATCCTGGGCATAGAGGTAACCCACCTCCTTCTGTGCAAGCATTGCTCCCCTGAACATACTTGTGTCAGTGCACCTGGTATGTGACTGTCTCCCTTTCAGTGCTCAGAGGCAGGGTCTGGGTCTCATCCATGTTAGAAGCCCCTGTCTCCAGCACACGGAGCCTGGTTCATAGATGGCCCCAAACACATGCTTGTCAACTGAAGAAGCAATTTAGATGTGCGGAGCCAAGCAGGAGCTTGCATACAGCAGGCAGGCTTTGGAAAGACATAGGCCTGCAGCCTCTCCCTCACCCCACCTCCTCCCCTAGAGAGATGAAAATCTGAAATTACATAAAAAATAAATCAGAAAGTGATTCCAGTCTTTGCCAAAGGATCTTCATAGTATTTCTTTAAATAGCCAACTCTCTAGGTGCATTTGAAGTAAGACAAAATTTACAAATGTACACAGAGCAGGGGATGGGAACCTGTGGATTCCATGATGGAGATGCAAGGCATCTATGAGATAGAGATGAGGGATGGGTGAAGTTTTTCTGGGGCCATTTGGGAGCTCCTAGCCCCTGTGATGGACAAGTCATCAGATAGACAGGATTGGGGCCATCCTATAGGAGGTGCCAGAGCTTGAGTTATTTTCTGCAGAAGAGGAAGGTAAGATAGGAAAAGGTAGCCTGTGATCTCTCCCCAGGCCATATGTCTTCTGAGGAAAGAGGCAGAAGCCAGAGTTGTAAGCATGGAGAAAGATGAGATCAGGTACCTGACTACAGCCTGTCCTCTTCCCTCCAGACCGTCCACCCGGTTGAGCTCCTCCCCTGCAGGCCTTTACCCAGCCACAAGCTGCCCAGGACACAGGAAACCTCTGAGAAGATCTGTTAGGCTTAGTTCCTAGAAGCACATGACAACCACAAGCCAGGCTCCTCCAGTCCAAGACCAGTGGCTAAGTGCAGGCAGGTACACCTGTGACAGGGCCACACCTGCTGGGTACACTTTCCAAATCAAGCTACCTTATCCAGGGAGTAGCAGTGTCCATGGATCAGGACAGAAACATGTGAATTAGTGGTGGCCAGAAGAGCTGAGAAAAGTGGTCACCACTCAACCCCTGAGTCTGGATCTGGGAGTCCCCGTTACCCTAAGGGGGAAAGTAGTGGTACTTCAAATCTCCTTCTGAGCCTGGAAATTTCCTAAGTTTTTTCCATGTGATTGCTTGTCTTCATTATGCAGTTGACATGAGAAAATATAATTGTATAATCAGAGCATGCAATGAGACAATGATTGCTATAACTAGGGGGGGAGGATCATCAGGAATGAGTGTATTTTGTGACTTGGGGGACAGGAAGGAATGTGTGCAGAGGGTGTGGACCCCTCTCGGAAACAACTCCAAATGCAGTAGTGTCACTGGGAACCCAGCACGATGTCTGGTGGGGAAGATGGGGGAGGGCGGGAGAGTCTTTTGGGACAGGTCTGCAGGCATCCAGGTTCCTGGTGCTGTTTGCAATGCTTCTGACAGGACTCGTTGTTCCTTGTGCCACTGAAAGCATGGACTCCCTAGGAGTCCATGCTGCTGTCCTGGGGTCTGCCTGGAGCCAGCTAGGTCCTTGGATCTCATTTTGCTCCTCTGTGTAATGGAAATGGACTCTGCCTGGCTTCTTTCACAGAGTTGCTGCCTGAAGCAGGTCACACTCCCAGGAATTAGAACAGGGTCTGACTCATAGAGATAGTAAACACAGGATTTAATTTACAAATGCAAATGGGAGCTCCTACTGTTGCCCCTCCTGTCATTGCGCCTAGAAGCATACCCAAAGTGTAACTGGAGGGAAGAGAGGAAAAGGAGACATTCACTGACAGCCAAGGGGACTCCAGGTGGCGATGTGCGTACTCCTTGGGACCGCGTGAAAGCCTCATTAGGAAGATGGGTTACGATCTCTACCCCACCTCACTCCCCACTGAGTTACCAAATTCTTGAGCTTGTTTCTGTTTTGTTTGGTTTTTGGTGGTACTGGGGTTTGAATCAAGTTATTGAACTTGAATGATATCAGGCTGATCTTGCAGGGGGCTCCAAGGCACGGCAGAAACTGGGAGAAACAAGGGCAGAAGTAAGACAGAAATCACAGGAGGGACAAAGGAGGTGGGGCATAAAAAAGCCAGTGCAGGACCTGCTTAGGAAGGAGGGACCCACAAAGGGGAGACAAGAAGAAAGGGTTGAAGAAAAGGCACAGAGCAGAGAGGAAGCACCAGGAAAGAGGGTAGAGAGGAAAGAAAGGAAGGGGGAAATCAGAAGCCCGAAGGAATAGTTCACGCAATGTACAATAAACACCCCTGCAGGCTGCTCTCTGAGAACAAGGTCCTTCTTCCCCTCTTCTCAGAGTCTGGAAAAAGTTCACAGGAAAGGTTCGTCAGAGAGAGCAGAGCAGAATTCTCCCAGGAAGCTGTTTATCACAGAGGGATAGAGAGCCTGCAGTTGTGGCTCCCAGAGCTCCCTGCCACCTCCACCCACACAACCTACCACTCAAGAGGAGGTCTTGAGCACCCTTGCAGGTCTGTCCCCTTCCAAACTCCAGAAAGACAATGCTAACAATGGCAAGTCCCCAGACAGACCCAGGGCAAGGGGTGACCTCATAGGCCCACCCTATGCTATCTCATATAGCTGCCACCAGGGCCTCCAGACCCTATGAGGAGGGGTCTCCCAGGGCTGCTTTGCACCCCACTAGGCTAACAGGACAGGACAGGCAGCTCTTTGCAGGGTTCCTGAGCAAGAGGAAGTCAGCAAACCT